TCAAACCACATCGTGCAAAATTTGTGAATATATAATGTCGAAAATAAAATAAATCAAAATACGTTAATGCATACTGCATGCATATAATAGTATTATAGAAATATGTTTAATTATTTTATTTATAATATTATAATAAAAACTAAGAAATATAATTAACATTTAATCATTTTAATAAGATTCCTTTATAATTTGCGACTTAATTAATTCTTTTTATATTATTATATTTTATTTTTAATTTAGATAAAAATCATTCTATTATACAATAATCTTATCTTAATTCTTATTTTTTATTAATATTATAACTGTTTGGATGGATGGATGGATGTTTGTTAGAATGTTTGTATGTCCAGAATGACTACACGGATCTGGATGAAATCTGATATAGAAGTAAAACACAGTCTGCAAGAATGCACAAGCTTAGTAAGTTATTTTTTATTCCACGGGAAAGCACAGGCAAAAGCTTTTTTATATATAAAGTACATATAATTACAATTACATCTGTGATCAAACGCGATTTTAACTTACCTTTCTCACTTATTTTACATCCTTTAGATTACATTTCATATGATAGTAGAATAACCAGAATAGTTATAGACCGACAAATTTATCTGACCCGGTGGGCAAGTGACACTGAATTACTTTAGCGTATTGGGGTCCCCCTGTTGATGTTAAGAAACTGACATTTTCCGTGCCTAAGTAAGCTTGGATGAGAACCAGCTGTTGGCAGAGACAAGTGAAGAAACATAGAGGAGGCCTATACCCAGCAGAGGACATGACAGTTCTTTCTTTATAAAACTAGCTTATTATTATTATTAAGTAATTTTTATTTATTTTTAATGTAGAACAAACCTCAATAACAGTGTCTCACTGGGCCAGATAAGTTCGTAGCACTATAATAGATATTTGATATGCATCGTATTACTAACCGGACGTTATGTCACATGACTTGTAACGACGCGTTTTAATGAGCGCGTGTAAAGTGAGACAGCAAACAAATAACTTATAACGAGGAAATAGTATAAAGGAACGCAGTTTGTCTTTGGTGTTCCCATAATAGCCTTTTTATTTTTACCTTATGTTATTTTTTTAGGACCGCAGTATCATTATGTAGTAATTTTCTTCTCCTAATATAATTAAGTTAAGGTATATTTTTTCTTTATATAGAAATAATAAAAAATATATATATGGAGAGAAGATTTGATTGTTTGTCTACATTGAATAGGCTCCGAATCTAGTGAACCGATTTTTAAAATTCTTTCACTGTTGGGAAGCTACACTATCTCAGAATTACATAGGCTATTATTTTTCACTTCCACGCGGACAAAGCCACGGGCAACTGCTAGTTGGCTAATAAATATTTATTAATGTTTTTGAAATATTGATTTTCAATTTTGACATTGACTTATTGCGAGGCAGTAAACTCAAGTACTACAATAATTTCACCATCGTAATTAACACTAATAGGACCAGTTTGTACGTTGCTATGGTAACGTAAGTCAGCTGTCAATACACGTTTTGTCTCACCTGTCTTTACTCAAGGACGGTTTAACAAAAACATAAGTACGCTGTTGCATACCAAGACTAAAAATTTATAAATTGTCTTCCATTTTACGTAATATTATCGAATTATATTTATCCTCATTGCCTTGTCACATTTGCTGATCAAACCACTGCATTTTATATTACCAATAAGTTAAAATAAAATTTCTCAAACATTAAACTATACTAATATATAATAACTATAATAACTCTTGAATTTGAAATTTAAATCTCATTTGAATAAGGTTACAGAGTCGTTTCGTTAGCTAAATAAAAATGACAATATTTATTATAGTTATTTTTAAGCAATGTTTTTTTTTAATTCCAGGATAAGATGCAAGATTCGTTTTTAAACACGGGCGACTTTTTCACGGAATCCGGGGTGGAAAGAGTAGAGAGCTTCCAGTTGCCACCTCGTGTGTATTCACTTATTAATACGTTAGGATGGGCGATTCTAACTCTGACCCCTATGCTTTACTATTTGATTGGATTACTGTTCAGTGGGAAACTACTCTATCTGACCATTGGAGGCGCCATACTTGCTGCATGTAAGTATATTTTTGTGGATTTTTTAACATACATTTTTAAGGAAAATCAAAGGGGCTTAAGCCTTGAGGAACTTACCGTGGGTTTCCGAGACCATATCACAGTTTGAAATATATTGTTATATCTGTTTTGTCAAGGTCAAGACAGGGATGACGTTATGTTTGTGTAGACATTTTGATTTTAGAAACCAACGGATAATCAATAGAATTCTGTAAAGTGCTGACACTTTAGAGAAACACACGTACAATTTTTAGGACTCCGTACCTCATAGGAAGAAACGGAACCCTTATAGGATCACTTTGTTGTCCGTCCGTCCGTCTGACAAGACCCTTTTTTTTCTTTCAATGTCTTCGAAAAATATGACATGTTTTCCTTTCGGCAACGGCAAAGTTTACGATAACTTGTTTATGACTAAAATTATTATAACAATTTATTTTTTCGCTTATGAGAGGATATGTGTAATGGAATGCATTCAGATATGACGAACATCCATAGGGAAGTCTGTAGTTTTTTATTGTTAATTTATTTACTTAAATTTCTAAGAATATCTTACTAATATTGTAATGCGTATGTTTGGATGGATGGATGTTTGTTTCAAGGTAGCTTCAGACTGGTTGCAAGGATTTCTTTGAAATTTGGCATAGATGTAGAACATAGCCTAGAACATATATTCTTCATGTTTTTTTTTAATTTCGCGCGGATGGAGTTACAAGCGACAGCTAATTGATTTAATTATTATTTTTTTAGTCTATATCCTGCTTCAAAAATCCATCGGCATCACTCAAATCAGCCAAGGCTCTTCTTATGGAACTGAAAAGAAGTAACTAACAATATTTACTTGTAGTTTTTTTAATTATACCATTAATACATCTTATAAATAATTAAATCATTGGTTTAAATAAAAGTTAGGTGTATATTAATGGTATAATTAGATTTAATTACATATTTGTTTCTGTTTTTTTTTGTTATTTTTGATTCATGTTAAAAACAGTAAAATAATACAAATGTCATAAGAGTTATGATATATTTTATATCTATGTAAAAACTTTAAATTGTTGCTTGGAGCTTGTTTTTTTTTTGATAAAATTATACTTAATTATATTTCTAGTAATACAGTAAGATTTTTTCATGCACAAAATTTATTTTATATTCTGTTACATTGAATGTATTGAAGTGTATACAATATTATTTATCTATTGCACAACTTGGATATGTTAAATAAAAAAATACTTATATGCTTATTATTTAAAAAAAAATCCTGCATACATTACATTTACATACTTAAATTTAAAGATATTATTTTTTTTAAAATTCATTTATCAGGTTTTATTTTGCTTCTTCAGTATTCGTAAATGCAGAATCGCTAAAAAAAATCTGTCATAATATTGCCCTTTTACTAACGAAATACAAGAAAAGATATTGCTATCTCTTTTTTATCTAAAAGTGTAAGAGAGATGACGATATTTTTCTATACAGTTGCTTCGCCGGTTAAAACTTAGTATAACTTTGCATTTAATTATTACCGTGGTATTTATTAAAAATCTTTATTATTTCAATAAATGTAATAATACTAATTATTGTAACCTTTCCTCATCTCCAGTAAAATACGTTGAATTCTGTATTTTATACTTTAATGTTTTTTTTTTAAATATGCTATTGTTTATGGAATATAAACAAATAATTATTTTTACCCGTTGTTTTTCAACTGTAATTTTTTAAAATATAGGTTTTATATTCAAAATTTAAAACACATAAATTAATAATATTGATAAAACACTTTTTAACAAATTAAAAAACCAAAAAGTACATTTATGAAGTGCTTTATAGGTGATGGTTATTGTATAAACAATATTTTTTTAATTATTTATTTATTAATATGAAAAAAAGGAAGCACAATTTTATTTATAACTTATTTAAGATGTAACGAACGGTATTTTATAAAATGTAATCATTTAGTTAGTGTTCAATTTTATTGTGTGATACTAGATTAGTTATTGTCGAGTGATTTAACAAATGTATGAATGAGAACATTGAGTTATTTTGTTACTCTTTTTGCAATAAATTGTCAAATTTTTGGTAACAAAAGTAGTTAAAATTGCATGTTAAAAAATTATCATCAGTTTAATTGCATACATAGCTTGGATTTAGATTTTTTCATTTTTTTTCGTAATTTTTCAATGATTTTGTTCAGCAGTTTTAGGAATTATCCGTTTAGCATCGATCACTTTCGGTACCACTCGCCAATTTTATGGGAAAAATCGTGGCAGTGAATGTGTTAATATCAAAAAATTAATGAAATTATTGGTCAAAGTCAACTCCGTCGTCGGGTTTTGTTTTAAATCAAACGTAAATTTTCTTTATCCGTTAGTATCACTTTGTAAATCTTTTTTTTTAATATTAATGGTTAAAAAAATGTAACATTATAATAGTATTTTTAAAAATCCCTTGACATACCAAAAGTAGAAGGAATAGAGGTGATATTTGTACTAAACAATAATGTTTGTAAAAATGCCTCAATAAAAATTTTGGCACAACTTTTTCTTTTATTTACACTACCAGTAACTAGTAAACTTTACCCCACCAATGCTATAGTCCTTGTATTAATCATGTCATGTCATCTCTTTCATACTGTTTGACAAAAAAGAGACAGCTATATGTATTATTTTTAAATCATATAAGGTGGCAAACAGGCAAGTAGATTCCCCGAAATTTCGAAGGTCCCGCTGCCACATCCATGTCCCATTACATTCTTTATAAGTAATGAGTGAACTGAAAAGGACTAAAATTAATCCTCTGGCACACACATCAGACAAATCATGGAATTGCATCCACTTGACGCATGTCTTCTGTGAGGGGCAGTACCAACATTAATATTAACAATTATTTTGTGTCAACACAGAGTGATACACTAAAAGTCAAATTATAAAATAATTATTTATTTCATTGCGGAATATCCATTTTACTTAATCTCAATATAAAGTCAAGTAGATACATTTGTACCTTCACTTCAATTGGTTTGCTTGTTACAAAAAAACCTGGTACACCTGCTTTTTCCAATGTATCTTGCTGGTCACTAACCTAGAATAAAAATATGTATAATTATTAGGTCCTCTTTAACAAAGTTAATTGTTATATTTGTCCAATATCTACAATGAGAGATGTATATAATGATGGGTCTCATTATTACATGTAGCTCAACTGACTTTGAAGGATAAGGTAACTTTTGGTTCATATTTTTTTCTTTTCATAGTTTAACTATTGCTTGACTACCTTTTGATCCAACTGAAGAACTAATTTCATATCGGTTTGTTTTAGTTCTTCCTTGTGTCTTCTTAATAAATTAGTTTTCTGTACTTCTTGTTGCTCAGGGACGGTATTTTTCATCATTTCTTGTATTTCCACTGTAAAAATAAATAGATACGTATTAAATGGCATATGGCACTTAAGTTTTTTAATTAGAATAAACTAGTTAATAAATTCTATTATTTCTGCATTTAATGAATTAAAAGTATCTTACTTGTATGATTGTTAATTATTTGTAACCTTTGCTGGAAAAGATGTTTTTCAGTGACATGTTGAATTTCCATTAATCCCTTTACAATTTCAAATATAGTATCATTGAGTAGGCAGTTTGCTAAACCAGATAGTAATTCTATGGGGACTCTCATTTGGTATTTCCTAAAAAAGAGATAATGTTTAGTTTCACTTATACTTTATTGTAAGAAAATGTTGAAAACAAAAAGTATTTATATCATAGCTACGGTGGTAATTCTCGTGCCATATCTTGTAATTGTTCAAGTAAGAAATACAATTTTCTTTGTAAAGCTTCAGGTGTAGGTTCAGTGACTTCCATCTCTATGAAAAGGTTTTATTTATTATCCTTATTATTTATATCATATTTAATAATGTGTTTTTAATGGTATGACGATAGTAATATAATTTTAATTTCATTATATTTTGAACTTGTTGTTGTTTTTATCAGTATGACTTTGACATGTACAATTTGGAAACAAATGGCAACTTGTTTAAAAAATGTGGAATCGTGTAGTCTCAACAGCTAAACATTTAGGTACATAAAACGTCGATATAACACAGTTACCGCGTAGAATTCATTACATTTTAACCATTTAGAAGTATGAGAAAGTTTCGCTGGCATTTTTGTTAAAATTATTTTAATGGATTTTTAAATTTGAACAGGTAATGAAGAACGAATGTGATCTTGTTTGCACTTGCACTGTCACTGTCATATGTCACTCAAAGTGACCTAAATAGATCGTATTTTATAAATGTAATTTGAAGAATTTTGCTTTAAATGCATTATAGTATAAATTAGTAAATTTGTATTGTATGTAATATTTCAAAATATCACGTTTGTGTTGTTGATATTAATTTGCAAAATACTCGTAACCATGTTAAGTACATATGGGATTTTGTTAAAATTCTACGCTATATTTTTTCTTTATTCTTATAATTTAAGTGTTGACAGTGCTGTAAGTGTGGAAGAAAATTACTACAATGGATTTTCTTTATTGTAAGTTTCTAATATGAAGTACAAATTATTAAAGTAACATTTGTTGTACAAAACTTTTTTCTAAAACAATTATGCTTTAGGTACAACAATGGAAATCATGAAGCATTCAGTACAGTACTGGAGAAAGATATGTATTCTTATCCAAAAGAATGTTATGAAATTCTTGAATCATTCTCACAGAGTGCATCTAATTTGACCATGTGTTCAATAATAAATGCTCGACCAGTAAGATTGTGTGAAAAATGTGTTGATCATTATGTTTGTTTTCATAACAAATATCAAGAGCTTCTTAAAACTGTTGTTAATGGCACATCTTGCAGATCTGTGTTTATGTCACATGATAGATTAAATGTGGTATTACAATACCATGACAGCATTTCAGCTGTTTGGGAAAAAGGAAATTGCAACAGTAAGTTAAGAATTATCTTTAGAAATGTAAAATTTATTATTTTAGTATCTTAAAATTTGTCTGTTTTTAGATTGTTTTAACTGGACTGATGATAAACCAGTGATAAAAAATGATATAAACCATTTTATAAAATTATTTAATGACACAATGAACTGTTTCTCCAACAATTATGATCCAGAAAGTAATAATACAGTTTGTGAAAAATGTATGCAATTCTACCTTCAGTTAGATTCATTCTATGCCACTTTAAGCACGGATTCTATTGGAGTGGATTCCGTTTGTATGGATATTGTTGATTCTGTAAGTTATAATTTTTTCATCTTATTCCATAAATTACAAGGAAGAGTAATCAAAGAATACACACTATAAATCTAATAATGGAAATGTAAAAGATAACACAACAGGTAATAGAAAAAAAATGATTGATTATAAGATTTGCATAAAAAAAATTGATTTCTAGATGAATGCTACCAGAAGTATTTGGAGTAAGACTTTCAATTGTTGCAAGCTTAGAAGAACACCTGAGATTGTATTTTTATGCAGTGCTGGAGTAATATCTTTATTGCCTTTAATATTTTACATCTCGGTAAGGTACTGTGGCCCAATTAGAGATTTGCCTCAAGTTTTAAAACGTAAGTATTTTCAAGGGTAATAAATTTATATAAATGATGTGTGTCAAATATCAAAATTTTATAGAGTTCTAATAGTATACAAAATGAAACACTTTTCTCCATATATTGTCTTTATTTTTCAGAGTCAAGAATAAAACAAACAATATTAAGATCAATTAATTCCAGAGAAGATTAAATGACATTATATTTTTAAGTTATGCCAAAGACTATTATGAGAAATTTGAAATTTTAAGGCAAATAAAACTGTTAAGAATAACATTTTATTTCATTTTTATTTATTTTCTTCATTTGACATTAGCACTTATGTTTGGCAGTGTATGTAAGGCAATTTTGTTTTTAAATTGTTTTGCTTTAGATGTCCCGTGCCACTACTATTTCGTCATATGAAAGTTTTTTTTTCATCAGATGAATTGACAATTTATCTATGCCTGGCCTTTTTGTTGTTATTTTTTTTAACATTGTTACTGTTGCTATTAGTGAGTTTATGTTTCAATGAGTTCAGCGTTGTATCTCCTTTGTTGGCAATACCTAGAGTAGAGTCTTTATCCTTTGGAGTGCCAGGTCTACTGTCTAATCCAACTGCGGATAGCATTTTAGTATCACTGTTAAATGACTTCTGTAGCATACCAGATGCCATCTTTTGAGTTGCACTTTGTTTTGTTTGACTCATTGCTTTTTCAATAACTCCATTGGTGTGTTGTTTCCCAGATGGCTTAGATGCAATACTCTCCGTGGAGCCATGTATTGTTGTGTGATTCAGATTTCCTAAGTTTAATCCACTCAATTGTGTATCTGAAGAATCCTCATTTGTCTGCGATTCCGTTTCACTATTCCTTTCATCTGTTAAAAAGAATACATATTATGTAAAAAACATTTAAAAATAAGGAAAATTAATTTGATGCATATAATATTAACTTACTTTTTGTTTCTGCTGGATCTACAAGTCCACTGACTGCCTGTTAAAAAAGTGAATGGTAAGAATTGAAGTTTTACTAGAAACCTTATTTATGAAAAATACACAAAATTATGTTTATCAGGAAAAAAACTGACAAAATCTACTATTGATACTTACAGCCATTGAAGTTATAGAAGATTTAGAAAACAACCGTTCTGCTTCCTTAAACTTCCTATTACGTTTATCAGCTTTGGAATTTGTACTTTTGTTGGTTGTGAGGTAGCGGTCCCATCCTCGTATTATATTACCATACAATTGAGTATCTTCTAAGTACGAACCTTCAAAAGCGTAAATTTGTCGCTCCAAACTAGCCAAAGTCTCCTAAAACAAAAAAAAAACAAAATTTGATAACATGGTAACATTTTTGACAAGTAAATAAACAACAACAAATAGTTAATTTATTTTCATATAGATATATTAACGGTCTACATATATTATTTAAACATAAATATAATACATAAGACAAAACAATGACTCACTGCTACTTCGGCTTTTCTTTTAACTAATTCTGCTAATTCAACTCTTGTATCGGCTACAGAAGTTTGTTTGGACGCCATATTGGTTTTAGAACCTTGCACATTTGGGGCTTCGCCAGCAGGGCTTTGCGGTGAAACAACCATTTCGGTGGATATTGTTTTACTATTCCTATAATTCCATAAGCATACTTATAAATATTGATATAAAATGCTGTTCCGGGTATCACAAACATACAATTATTCGCTAATTATTGCTCGAAGATCACAATACTTCAGTTCGTGCAAATTTTACAATTGACATTGACAATCAAACTGAGCTGCAATCAATCTGACAGCTGAGCTGACATTTTCACTCAGAACCATAACCAATACTAATATAGATAGTAAAGATTTAACATAGCGAATTCAGCCAAAGAAAAAGATTTTTATTTTAAAGTGCACTGAACAATTCACCCCATAAAAAAATATTTTATGTCCTTTTTGCAAAAAATGCAGTTTACCTCAGCTTGCCTGGTTCATACATACATTCTGTTAAAAGTATGAAGCGGCAACCAACAAACAACTAACCGTCGAAAACATCAAAGGAAAATTCAATATTATAATTCCAATAGTTTATTAATAATAGTTAATATTTATATAGACGCACAACCTTTATTACCCTGATGCGAATATATATGTTCCATTTACAGTTGTAGGTAACAATATTTTGTTAAACTAGGGTTATAACGAAATCTCGCTTGTCTCTGCAAGTGCGGAACATCCACATAAAATGCAAAAGGTGATACGCCCATTCAGTTGAGTTTTGAACTTGACGAAGAGATAAAGTGATGACACGGTTACTAACAGCTAGCTTTCTAATATGGAAATTGGTAATAGATTTTAATAAACAGATTAGATACTCAATAAACAATATACCAAAATTTCTGCAATAAATATGATTTACTAATATTTACAACTTCTGGCACCGTTTTCGTTAAACTTCTGCAGAGCTAAGGTACTTCACTCCTACATCCGCTTCCGTTAAAAGGGACTCCGCTACAACCCTAGTTCATACTATTCTTATCTTATCATGTAATACTAAATTTAATAATATTGTTTCCATTAAAATAACATTTTGGACATTCAAATTCAGGATCAGCAGCTTTGTTTGCCTGAAACAAGTGAAGTGTTAATTGTTAATACAGTCATAGACAAACTATCTATATTTTATTAAGTAAGACTAGCTTTTGCCTGTGATTTCTTCTGCGCAGAATTAAAATCAAAAGGTGAAAGACTAAGATAGGTTTGCTCTAAATCTATACTAAATTTCAGAGAGATCAACCACATTTATATAATAATATTAGTAAAGTTGTCTTACCGTTAAGCAATAGTAACAAAATATATGGGAGCAGCCCATCACATGAGGTAGTACTGGTCTGTTTGAGCAACATGCACAAACGGTATTGATTGTCATTGTTGGTGATTTCTCTCCTCCAATAGACCGAACATGTTTCCGCCACCAAACATATTTCAAAGTATTGCTCATTTTTCTTTTTAATCCAAATAAATTGACCAGAGAAACCACTGTTCCTATTAATTCCTGAAAATCAAATATTATTGCTTAGTAAATAATTTATTATTTAGTTTTTTAATGTGTTCATTTATTACTTTTTTAAAAATAATTATCAGTTATGTAGTCAGTATATAATAGTAATAGATTAACAATAGTGGTGTTTAGAGTGAGCCAAATAAAGCATCAGGAAACACAAAGTATTTAAATTGAATTACTTACAATAAGATTATGCCATAACAGTTCCCGAGTCCAGGAAAGATCTGTAAGGTCTTCCCTTGCTAGTTTGTCTGCTGTAAGTTCAAGCCCGAGTATAAAATCTATTAAAACTGGATATTTCCCAGTTTGTATAAACCTTAAGAAGTTAAAAATGTCTCCTATCAATTGAAATGTTTCTAGTTTGGTACAAAAGTTTTGCACTTTTATATTTGATGTTAAGCTATACAAGGCTCTGTCTTTTAAATATCTCAAACCTATTGTATAACCATAATACCAATACAATTTGCTTTGTGAGAGGTTTGTGGTGTCATATTTCAAGGATAACATTTCCTGACCAAAAGTACATTTCTTTTCACATAATGAATACTTGAACATCCATGTTCTCAATAAAAGTTCAAGTTCTGGTAAAATTGGCTGAAGGATTCCAGGCTGAAAAATGAATTTGTTTAGATAAGTACCAATTTTTTTAACTTATGAAAAGAACATAATCAATTTTCAATTTTTCCTTAAAGTTATCAAGTATATAGTGAGTTTTAGATATCACAAACTCAACTACATTACTCAATATTTTATAAAATTCGTAAAAAATCCAAAGCAGTCATACTAACCTCTAAAAATTTGGTAGCATTAAATAATAGTTGTTTGAATAAGTCTTCAACTTGCTCATCTAATTGCACAGAATCTAACTGAAAATTTTGAAGATAAACTTAAGAAAATGATTTGTTACTTTCTATAAATATTTTTTAAACAATTGCTTAAAAGTTATCATCATCAGCTCTATATGCGGTCACACTGTGAGGTTTAGACCGTACCCTAACTTAGGGTTTGGGCCATAGTCAAGAGTTATGTACCTGTGTAACTCTGGGAATGTACGATATGGACATTATAATAGATATCCTGGTTACAAGTTTACCATATAAGTTTCAAATCAAAATATTTGTAATTCATATGTAACAACTAGAACAGAAATATAAGAACTACATAAGTGAAGTGTCTGTACTTTGATCAAAAGATTATTGTTGTTATCAACCTATTAAAATAAGTTTTTGTTGTGCGTAATTGTCAAAATGAAATTTAAAACAATGTCATGTCAAATGTCAAATAAACTTATATGAACCATAGATATCAGATATATAATCATAGACATTATTTTCTGACAGAACTTGCCGTGAAAACAGTAGCGCATCTAGGGATGAGCCCAGTGGTTGACGAACTACCCTTTACTGGCCAGCCTCGTCGCACTAGTAATTTCGGATTTTATAGATCTATAAAAGTCGTCGGATATTTTTGAGTATCTTTTCTTTCTTGTAGGGGCATTGTACTCAATTGTTTCGAGGAAGATATTACAACAAATACTAAGATCTATTTTCTAGCATTGTTACGCAGGCATATGTATATAACTAATGCGAAAATAATTGAATTATACTTTTACTGGTAGGAAATAGGTAGCTGGAGTAAATATAATATCATATATGATTTGTGACGATCTTCTCTATCTTTGCGTAATATGATCGAGCAAACTATATAACACACTTTATATTAACTCGTACAAGATATTACATGTGACTTAATGTTACTTAATCAATATGATTTATCTGAATTACTTAATTTATATGAAATGATTAGTTCTGAATTGCGTCTCGTTCAAATAAAAACTTACATTTTTAGTTATTGATGTTTTTAAATACGGATTGTAAAATATTAGGTGGAGATTTCCAAAGATGGGCATTAATTCGTTAATCGTTAATTAAGAAAGTTAAACATCTGTTTAAATAATTAACTTTGCAGTAAAATGTCTTTATGTTAACTTCCGTTAGTTTAATTCCTTATATTGTAACATAAGACGTTTGTTTGAATTGTCCGCCAGGACACGCTCGCATGTTGGAAGATTGTCCGCGTCGTCAATGGCAAGTGATGTTATAATAGTTTATGAGATATACGTTTGAATGATGCCATAGTAGGTGTCACAACTTATCTAATGTTGAGCTCGTCGGATTGGGTAAAAAAGATTAAAACAAAAAGATAATAGAGATCTTATTGAATTTTTTCTATATGTACATTTAACATATTCTTAACTTATTTTTAAAGGACATGATTACAAATTTTACAATAGTATCCTATGCAAGTGGTACTGTTCAGTGTTTGTCTTTGCTATTGTGTACGTTGGCATGGAAACCGGTCTCCCAGTCGGCGACGTAGTCCACTGTGCGCACCGAGCCGTCCGGTTCCACCAGAGAATATTGACCTGGATAAATTCATTTATATCTTTACATCTAGACTGTTATGGCTGATTTAATTGCGTAATAACTTATTGTATCGTATTAATTATTAATATGATAGTTCAAGTTGTTGCATAATCTAGATAAATATGCGACTCTTTGCTGTTCGTTTGATGTTTTCAAGATAGTTCAGAGGTTTATGGCTGGCTGGCTTACATAATAAATCTAATGCAGCTATTTAAATTAACTGACCTGGGTCATCATAATTTAGTTGATGTAAACTTCACATATAAATCGACGTAAACTTTTTCTTTTATCGCGCATCAAATTAATTTCAGCAAATTTGATGCGCGATAAAGGAATGTCTTGTAGAATTAGTTTTATTAACTTAGAAGCCTATTTATACTGCGCAAAGGACTTTCTTTGTAAACTTAAAGGAGATACTTGATATTATATTTCTTATCATATAATACATACAATTTTAAGAAGTATGAAGTTACTGTAATGGCTTATTCCTATTTATCCAAATGCTAGCTGTCGCACGCGACTTGGTCAGGTTGCCTACATCAACCTTCCAGTCAAAGACGGTCCAACCTTTACATACACGGTACATATGTGTATTTCCAGACAGATAGACAAACAATTTTTTGTTGTTGTAAAATATAACTTAATTATTATTGATATTGATAAGCGTAATAAATCCCTGCATGTAAAATTCAAGGGTATAATGAATAAAAAATTGAGCAATGAAAAATGTATTGAGGCGACCCGACGACGGTTAATATTTCATCAGATAATGTTTATGCGACATTGCGTCACACCTTGTAACACTAAGTATAAACAAAAGGTCGTCGGGTTTACCGCTTTTAAAGTAATTGAATTAAGCTTATTTTAAAACTAATTGAATGGTATAAAAAAAAGTTTCTCACCTCTTACAACATCGCCGTCGCGCTCTTCCTTTTGTTGCTTAATGTCGCCGGTGTGGGGATCGTTAACACCGTACTCAAAAGCATATCGTGGATGAGCGTCCTTTGAAAAAAATAATTTTATTAAAAAAAACTTCACAAAACGTAGAAAATTAGAGTAGAAGTTAGGTGATTAGTAGATGTACTAATTAAAAAAAACAGCGATGAATTGCGATGCGATTAAGTACTAAATATTTATTTTTACTTGTGAAATGATATATTACTTCGCAAAAGGAAGTTTACACTATAGATATATCTGAACACATCTTGTTAACTATAGCTTGAAACAATTATTCATGTAACAATCTATAAAAGCACCTTAGTATAAATCACGGTATTAGTAATTGCTTTAAATATGTATACATATTGTTTCCTCACGTCTTCCCCGCATTACTATTAATCATTTCATATACATTACTCCTGACAGGTTCGTAATACTTTGTATAACCTCACAAATTTATCTGACCCGGTAAGCAAAAGTTAAACTGAATTGCAATAGCTTTTAAGCGCCCTGTCAATGTCAATGTCTCACAAAATCATTATCCTACTGTAGATTACATTCAAGATGTGTAATTTAGTCTATATATTTACTGACAGAATTAGCCGCGGTAATAGAGTCTCTTTTACCTGGCCAGATAAGTTGGTCTCACTATGCTAACTCTAGGATTATTACATCACAGAATATTTCAAATATTCAAAGACCTTTAATATTATTGAAACAGTATCTGAGAACTTAAGGCTTGAGATTAAATCGCCGGTTGAAATACTGGATTGAATAAAAGCGTTTACAATGAAATATACATTGAACAGAGCACGATCACTTTTGCTAATAAGGAAGTTAAGCGTCGTGAAAAACCTAAATACTTGTACCCCGTATTGGTGACATAAGGTTGATTTGTTAATGTTTATCACAGACATATAAATGATTAGCTGTCGCCCACGACTCCATTCGCGCGGAATAAAATAAAGTTAATTAGTCGCCTATGTGTTCTTCCAGGCTATGGTCTACATCTATGTCGAAATTCAGCGACATCTATGGAGCCGGTCCGGACATACCTACAAATAAACATCGATCCACCCAGCTTTTATAATATTAAGTAAGATATAAAACGTAGAACTATTTTATCTCATCTTGACAAAATTTCGCTAAATAAAGGAATTATAATATTTTTTTACTATTTAATGGACAAAACAATGAAATCTTAAAAAAAATCTTCGAAATTCGATACCTGAAATGTACCGTACAATTTTGTGTGACTGGCTTCGTATTTAAAAAAAATATTAAAAGCCCTTAAATCGCATCGCAATATTTACAATTTCCTGGCTACCTACATAGTTTGGGTGTCGCAAGACTCGTTTCATTTCTGACAACACGTTGAAAGCTAACCGTATTACCACTCAAAATTATCATCTGTTATATATTTAAAGGAAGCGTGTGTTTATACGACGATGATAAATTACTGATGAGTTGAGGGCTTCATTTCGATATAAGCTATTTCTTATGATTTATGGACTAATCTACAAACATATATCAATTGCGCATACGCACATATTAAGTTCATCTAATTGCAGAAAGGATTTAAACAACATTAAAATAAGTATATATGAAGCATTTCACTTATGCATAGATGCATATGCTCTTAATTATTTTAATACAAATATCAACAATATCTATACCATAAAGGGGGTTAGAATAAGGGTCCAAATATAGAATGTGTTTTATCATAATAGTGATATATTATGTCACATGCTGCTATGTTATTTTTTAAGTAAAAGTAACAGCAGCATAATGTAACAGATTACTTAACTTACTTAACGTGTCACAAATAACTTATTTTTGTTTAAAAATAATGTTATTACTAATGTAAACAATCTGGTTAGTTTCAGTAAAAAATAGTGATTACGATTTTATCTTATGAGCTCTTTTCATAAAATATAATTAAGTAGCAAACTTTAACGAAAACATCTAGGATCAAAATGCTTTATTAGAACTAATTTTTAATCAAGATTAATAAGTATTATAGTAAAGCGACAAAAGCTTTTAACAAGGCAATGATAGTGGATCGACACGAATTCATGATCTCAGCGCCAACAATAAATACCATTTGCCACGCCTATTGAATGTCAATGTCTTAAAGGTTTAGTTAATATAATAAAGCCTGGGAAATAATAGTATTGGGCTCAGGTATTTGACGTTAGTAATTGTAATGTTAATCTTGTGTGGGATGGCATTTTGTAGGAGGTAAGCAGGACTTACAACGTAGAGTTCTATAATTAAGAAATAAAAACATTAGTTTTATTAATTAATAAACAAACTAATTGGAGGACATAGAATTAAATCATTAAGGATTTGATTCGTATTGTGTGAAATAAAATTAATGATAATAATTGCTTACGTCAATTAGGAAAAAGACTGCTCATTGTTCATATAATAATTCATACATTGCTATAATATATATTGTCCTAACCAGATATAGTTTTGTAGAGCATTGTTTTAATAAAGTCACATAAATCATCAAAATTTAGTTTTCAATGCGTGTCGATTGTATTGGATAACACGCATGAGGTAACGTCTTGCAGGGTAAACCTACAAACATTCAGTTTTAGGGAGATTTTTTAAAATCTCTAGTTGGCTAATATAATTAATTAACTAGATATCCTAACACAAAAGCCGCTTGATAGCTTGTAAACACATGTTTGTAGTGACGATACTTGTCCGTTACTGAATAATAGCAAATATGGTTTCCAAAAAATTAATGAAATTAATATGAAGAACATAAATTTTTACTTACATAATTTTCCAAAAACTCCGTGTGAACATTCTTAACTCCCAGAGATGCGTGTCCTCTTAAAGCAGCTTGTGAGTACTGAGAGACAGCTGCAGAATGCTGCACTGCGACTGCCGGTGCCGAGTACTGAACTACTGATGGTGAACGCTGGATTGATACTGCAGGTGCAGAGTACTGCACTAATGGTGCGTGTTGTACACCAACAGCTGGCACCGAATATTGTGTTACCGCTGGAGTCGAGTGTTGTATCGAAACTGCAGGTGCTGAATATTGAGTCACTGCAGGAGCTGAGTATTGTGCAATTGCTGGAGCTGAGTATTGCGCAACTGCTGGAGCTGAATATTGCCTAACTGCTGGAGCTGAGTATTGAGCAATTGCCGGTGTAAAATATTGAGTATAACTTGGTGACACTTTGGGTGCTGAATATCCGATAGAAGCTGACGATTGAGAATTGTATTGCACACCGGATCGCGCGTGATATTCCTCAACAGTTGGCGCGCTGTACTGAGATGTCGCAATAGCTGGTGCTCGATAAATAGGTCCCACTTGTTGATATTGATTTATAGCTGCTGGCGTAGCGTAAGCAATTTGGGGAGTTTGTTGAACTTGAATCGCTTCAGATGCTTTATATCCAACAGTTGGTGCGGCGAATACTTGAGACACAACTGGACCACCAGATTGGACACTGTAAGAGTTTAGAGATGCTTTCGCGGAACCCAAAGATATCGATTGTTGGGTAAGTAAATTGTTAGAGGCGTATGTGGTTCTGAGCGGTGACAGAGAGTATTTGGCAATTAAGGGCGCTGCAGTAACTTTAGCTATGATCGGGGCTTGCGCGTAAGTTGCTAACGGCGTCACTGTTCTGCCAGACGATGCAGCCGATGATAATCCAGCGGAGGTAGCGTAGCCGTGAAATTCGTTTTGATTTGCAGTTTGTTTATAGTTCGCTTGAGTTACTAGTGGAGCTTGGTACGCAGTCGCTTGTATCGCTTGCTGTTGGTACGCGACGCCTCCATACTGGTTAGAAGCTACTCCGGTAGACAGCTGCGTGGTAGGCACGGGATACGAGTAACCCGAGTCGCCACATCCTTGTCCTTTCTGCACTTGACTAAGGTGGTAATTGAGATCTGGGTCGTGGTAAGCGAGTACGTTTGCAAGTAGTGATGTAAGCACAATGATCTGAAACAAAAAGAAGAGCTTGTAATTTTTCTTAAGTAAAATAAATTGTTTCAATTACAATGTAAATGTTATTGAAGTATTTTTAAAATCGTTAGCTCACCGATTTCATTTTAATGCACTTTTTGGGATGCGAGTTAATTTTAAAAGACAATCGCTAGCGGTGCGTTCATTCGATAATCTCGATGTTGTTAATAGCTCGAACAAGTCGAATTGTATTTGGCAAACGGCGTCATTCGAAATGAGAGCAAAGTGCGCCTGCAAAGTCTTATATAGTGATCTCATATGTGTAAGAACGGGTCACACTTTTTCACATTCGCCGTTGGCGGAGTCGGTGGGCGCGGCCTTAGTACTGTATGACTCGTTATTCAGTTCCATTAGATTGTAAATCATTAAATATCGTTTCCTTCTTAGGTGCGAAGCGAGTAATGCACATTGCATTAAACTCAATCCACTAATCATGAACTTCGTTACATTTTATTGGCTGTTTGTGAGCTATTAGATCATAAGTTAAAACTGACTGTCCTTATACTGTTATATAGTTGAACTTGAATACAAAGTTACAATTTAACCCTTATTTCATATATGAGATGAGGCATCATTGGAGAACTTTTTCATGATAGTCAATTAATGTTTGTATCGGAGATTTCAATAGATACAACTTGGCTTGAACTTAACATTAGCACTTCTAGAGTTTGATATATTCGTAGACTTAAAGTAGTAGTGTAACCTAATTTGTTTCCTGTGTATTTTAATTAGATTTACGTTCAAATAAGTTGAAAAGTTCTAAATAAAGATGTAATTATCTTATACCTAAATAAATGTAATATTTCTGCTCAATTTGTATTTTACACGACCAAAGTTTAACAACACTTTTAAAGGGTCGTCAATACGGACAACTTTTATAATAAATTTAATTTACTTGTTATATTTTTTAACCTTACTTCGATGTCACGCAGGTCGCCTTACGCAATTAAAGCAGTTTTAAAAAAAACAGGTACGTCGTTAAACTGTTTATATTATTTGTAAAGGTACATAATGTAAGATCCTGTCGAAACGATGTATTTATGTAACAAACTAGGGTGCCTCTTTATACAAGAAAAACAAGGCAGCTTACCAAGCTATCGTTGATTCTTGATATCGTAAATCACCATAGGTTTAATCTGGATTCATCATCATCATCAGCTTACTAGACGTCCCCAACGAAGAGCTCGGAGTCTACCCTTCATTAGGGGGGCCTTAGCCATAGTCAATCGCGTTGGCACAGTGCGAGTTGAATTTACACATATCTTTGGATTGCTTCGCAGATATGTAGCACGCTGTTTTCCTTTACCGTAAGAACGTCGGATAAATTTACAATGTGTAATATATAAAAAATTTAAATCTGGAATAACAATACAATAAATTAATATACTTTTTACTGTTTCTTATAACATTTCATTGAAAATCTTGAGAATCAAAAACAAAAAAAAAACTACATTACGCAAATTCTCATATGAGAAATGAAAGTTTAAAATTTCATTCAATTTCATTCATTCAAACACAATCAGATAAGATTGATTCAGTGGCTTTAGATTTCAGGGTCGATATAATTATAAAATGCACTAAAAAGCGGAGGCGTTTGCTTCCGTTTGGTGCGTTAATTGATTGTTTTTCCCTTGACTATAAAAGGATAGTAAGGTTGTGTACGTTATTTATTAATCATTAGTTGTCGCTCGCGAATCCTTCCACGAGAAATTAAAAAAAATATTGACGTTCTTCTTCTTCCAGACTGTGATCCATGCAGTCGTTCCGGAGCTAGCTTCAAACATCCATCCATCTAAATATTCGCATTTATGTTATTAGTAAGATAGTAAGATTAAAATAAAATTGTTGTCACGTTTTGAATTATTCAAACAGAGCATAGAAACATCAATATATTTTTATTTTATGTGAGTACTAATGCAGAAGCACTAGATTAAAAAATATTAAATGTTTAAGAGTCGCAGTCAGGATTGAATTCAAATGATTTAGGTTTCATCGTGCAGTTTGGTAATAGGAAATGTTGTTTAAATTTAGTCTATCTTATAGCTCGTAAAATTAAATTTTAGCAACGCGATACAATCACTAGACAGGTGTATCGAAACGTTTTAAGTTTATAGTGACTTAAATGAGGTTATAATTGACTAAGATAGTCGTAAACAATGTTACAATCAAAATATTTTAATTCGTAAAATAATATAAGTACTTAGGCAAATGAAAAGTAAAAAGTATTTGACTTAATGTGATATCAATTTTACTCAATAAATTTTTTCTTGCGATATGTAGATATTTTTTTTTAACTTAATAGTGTGGATTAAACATTACATAATTTATAAGTAAACTAAAATTATAATAGGTTTAAATTACAAATGATTACCGTGAAACTTATGTCTATAACTAGCTTTTACCGCGACTTCTTCCGCCCACATTAAAAAATAGACTTAACCCTTATTGTGGCAAGATTTCTTTTTTGAAGAAAAACAAAAAACATAGTTAAAAAAAACTAAGTTAAATATTATTTTACAGTAATCGTATATTTTTATAAAGTTGTTTGTATGGTATATTATATAATACAAAAATAACATAAGGGTTAATTATTAGTCTATCTGTTCTTCCAGACTATGTCCTACATATATGCCAAATTTCAGCGAGATCCATGAAGCCGTTCTGTATATACTTTTTACCAACCTTACTTCCATCCATTCATACATAGTAAACAATTTTTTTTGGATCTTAATTTGTTTGTTTTTTTTTGTTAAATGTTACTCATATTTTAAAAGGCGATTCTGTTATTTTTAACGAAAAAGGGAAGTTACGTCAACATTTAGTTCAATGACATAGTAAATCTGTTTGTTGTTCATATTATTTTCTTACATAAATTCACTGCCAAAATTTACGAAGGTGCAGTTTCTTTTGAAATAAATGTTCTCACGATGTATTAGATATCTGTTTGTAGTAACCCTTTTTAATGATGGGAATACATTGTTTTTTACTATTACTTATCATTTTAATAGAATTATTGCGAAGGTACTAGTTACTGTTTGCGGTATAATTAAATATGAAGGCAAATTAATCATAATCATCTCGAAATACAGCTGCCGGAGTCAATTTTGAGTTATTAATTTTATTTTCAAACCGATTTCAAAAAGAAAGAGGTTATATATTTCGCTATTTTTTTTGTTATTGCAGATATGTCGAAAACCTCCTTAAAATGTTACTGGCTTCGATGAACATGAAACCAAAGAAAAAAATATTGATAAATTTAAAAACTAAAACCCATCTACCGATTTCGATTTAGTTTTGTATTTCGGTAAATCATTAGTGCCGCCTTGTTGGTGTTCAATTTAGTATTGAATAGATATACGATTATGCGTTGTATGTTATTAAATCTAACATATGGACATTCCATTAAAGAGATTATGAAAACTGATTACGTAGGCAGTCCTGATACATATCCCTACGAATTGTGTAACTGTTAGACAGATCTGGGTCCATGACTAAGTTACATTTCACCCGTTTTACAACATCCCAGTATAATTAATAAAATTAATGTAAATAATTTTATAGTGAAAAGTGTTGGCCAATATCTATAAACTATTTGCTGTATACACCAACTTTGTCCTCGCGGTATTAAAAAAAGTTAACTTAGCCTATGTATTTTTCCGGACTATGTTCTACATCTGTGCCAAATTTCAGCGAGATTCATGCAGGTAGCTGGAGGTAGCTTCTAACAAACATCCATTCACCCATACATCCAAACATTCGCGTTCGTAATATTAGTAAGATGTAAATTGGAATCTACATAATAAGTCAAAAGCATTTAATTTAAAAATTGTGGGTTGTGTGAATCGTGAAATCGAAAAGGTCTCTAATAGACTAGATAATAACAAAAAGGTTATAACATGTTATCAGGGTAACGCCTCTGAACTTTATTGTGCTAAAAATATCATGCCCCATACAAAGCTCATGGCCTGGCCTTTACTGTAAGTCTAAATTGCACGTAAGAAATATTTATCGTGTGCTTGTTGTGTGGTGTGAAGTGGTTCTTACATATGTGTAGCAATTTACTGCACATGAACTCGGGCCGATAAGGTTTTAGTCGACACTTTGCATAAGGAAACGACCACTAAGCTCTTAACAGCTTGCATGCAAATTATGCAACATGTATGTTGTGTATTAAGATTTGGGTCAATTTAAATAGATTAAATGAGAGTAAAGCGGGTAATTTACTTCAGCAAATTACTACAGAATAAGGGCTAGACTAACCACGTATCTTAGGTAGTTAAATGTAAAGTGGCAACATAAAATAAATTAAGTATAATCAATTTAGTTTAAAATTATAAATAAAATTGGTGTTTTTTTTAATTTGATAATTTTCCACATGGCCATTGAGTCAAAATCTATTTGTCCTTTCACTTAAGAAATATTGGCCGAGAGACGACGATAAGAAGGAAATATCGTAATAATAAAATAATCAAAGCCCCTTTGTTTATTGTAAATGGGTAATGTTTTGGAAAATCCAAAAGGCAGTTAAATGACTAAGAATAAACAGCTTCTTTTTTATCTTCTTTACATATGTGTATAAGTTCACATAATTTTTTTTATAGGTTTTTATTTAGAATCCCGAAATTCTATTGCCATAAAACTTGTATTAATGGTTTGCTTAAAGCGATGACAACTTTTGTATAAGTAAACCGACCGTCCAAATCCGCAGAGTTGGAATATAATCAAGATGGCCACCAGTAATTAATTGTCTGTTGCTGTCTCCAAATCTGGAATGTAGATCAAATCTCGGATTTAGGTGCAGACATTTTGGTTTAATTACTGAAATAGATATTTATATGTAAAATATTGCCTAACGTTTTCGGGTAAGGTTATACAAATATGGATTGAAGGAGGTTATAAACCTAGGTAACATTGGCCGATTGTTAATTTAAAAAAAAACTTTTTAATTTTATTTATGGTCTCTATGTCTACGTCAGCGTAGTGATTGTTGGTAACTATTGTACATTGTGATTTGTGACATACGGTTATTTCCAACATGAAATAAAATCACAAAAGCCGCAGTCGTAAAATGTTAATAAAAACACATGTAAATAAGGTGAATAAAAAATGGGTAACGGCTATAATTGTCGCCTTGTTTAGTCATTGAACAATTACACAGTATATTGGATGCCTTGTAAAGGATTATAAACGGAAAAAGTGAAAGCAATGAATCGCAATGATTTAATA